CTGCAGCAGACGTACATACGTTTATACGCGTACGCCATTAAACTAAAAACCTATCGATTGTCCCGTCCTACTTATTATTTAAAAACGAAATTTCGACTAGGTACCTATACTACTTGTATTCGGCAGTACGCGTATATGTAATCCATTTATAGACGATAATAGTAATAATAATAATAATATATAGCTTTGCAACAGCGGCGTATAATAATATGTGTGCGCATACATATTTATAAACGTCGACGGCTCCGAGGTTACGTATAGTTCGCGGGGGCAAACTTTACGAGCGAAATATCGCGTATTTCACTGCTATTATTGTTGTTATTAAAAATTATAACAAACGCGTATAATGCTCGGAATGTTTTCGACAGACTGTATTTTTTACCGTGTCAAAAATTATTCGTCTCCGAGCGCGATTTTCATATCCCTAGAAATAACACCGCACGTCATTCCAGAGTCCCCGAACAGCGTTTGGCAACGGTATTCGGCTATTTTTACAGTCGGCAGTTTTTTTTTTTTTTTTTTGTCAACAGCACTTTATAGTATATATGCCCAGCGAGCGACCACCATTAAATTATTATTACGCCGTTGCGATACGCGGTCGGCGGCCATACTTTCGGTATATAGCTATAGAGGTATTTACCGACTTTCCGACAGGTCACATCGTACACCGGCGTTGTCGCTGCCAAGAACTCAACTTACACGTGCTTCGGTCTCGTTTTTCTCCATTTATACATCCTTAAAATTCTGCGGCATGCACGGTTATGACTTTATGAGTTGAAATAATATATAACATATAACATTTAATAATTTTTGGTCCGCCAGAACTATTATGTGGTCCCCGGAGTCACTCCGACTTCATAATCTTATTCAACAAACGGCAACAAATTTTTATTTTTATTTAAAATTGCTTACTTAGTATTCAGAAAAAATGGGTCTAATATTGTATTATTTTATACGTGCTAGCTAGTCTGAGTAGTCTGACCAATTGGCAGTTATAAGTACTAGCAATTTGACGCAGGCCTGAGAACGATGCGTTAATTAGGAGTACCTGGCCATTAAAATGTAGAACCAATAATTCGACAAAATATTAAAAATGTAAATCGTTTTATTGTCATAACTCAAATGATTCATTTATAGAAATACGATTTTATATATATATATATATTATAGTGTATACACTCAACATTATAAAATGAAACGGTTTTTAAACCCTAGCTTAGCAAAATCACGGCCGAAGCCATTCATTATTCATAGACCTTAGTATAGGTATATAGATGTTAGCCCTGCAGCATACATAGGTATTCTCCATATTCTATTAGCAATAAACGTGGATCTATGAACGATTACGTAATTTGAGGAAACGAAAATAGTCCATATTATGTACCTATGTCAACTATCAATTTCAAAAAAGGTGCTCTGTAGGTTACAAGTTTGTCACTGTATAGTGGATGGTATTAAATTTGAATTCAATATTTCAATAATATAATATCATTGTATAAAAAAAACGATTCTGAGCGGAGACGGTATGTCAGTCTAGGTATAAGACATATTATATACATATCTATGGTTTAAAAAAAAATTGACCTATAATATGTACCTATAATAAATTCCAAATTAATCATATCACAATATTCATTAGGTACTTATAACTCGTTATACATCAATAACAAACCTTGAGAATATCATAGATATATAGTAGTATACTTTAGAAGTTTCAAGTACCCACGAATAATATTATACAATCACAACAAAATAACTAAAATAGTTATTCTAGGTTTTTTTATTATGTAATTTCGTCCAAATTTGAACTTAAAATAACTATAAAAATAAACTGTCCTTCTGTACTTTTTAGATTTTTTGGTAACAGAATAAACTACATACATAGAATCTTGTATTAAATTTTCAATCATTATAGATATAAAAGTTGAACATTTTATACATTTTTAACTAAAAAATAATTATTCAATTTTAAATTTGATAAATTTTGTCAAAATTTGTTCTTTAAATGCTTATAAAAAAAATTGTGCCTATGTATTTTTAATAATTTTCAACTGCTATTGTAACAATATATCAGGAGCCTTGTGTTAAATGTTTACACTTTTGGCCAAACAAATTAAACTTTATTGATATTCATAGAAAAAAAAAATAATAATTTTATATGAAATTGTCCGTAACAGCTCAAACAAGACAAAATATGTTGAAAATTTTATCATGTATAAGAATCGATAAAATAAACAGTCAGTGAAATGTTCATGTATCTACAGTTCTTCGTTTTTGAATTACAACAAAGTAAGAAAATCACTACATGAAAAATCTAGAGAATATCCAATGTTGTAAAAATTTGACTTTCAAACGCTCATAAAAATTTATTTTGATTTTCTTACGGACATTTTTAATTTGATAAAAGTAGACAAGCTTATAAGGAATCTTGTATTACATTTTCATACCTTAGATTAAAAAAGAAAAAATTTTATGAATTCTTAACTCAAAATAATTTGATAATTTTCGTGATTTTTCCATGTTTTGTCAAGATTTGAACCTTAAATGCTTATAAAAAAAACTGTGACTAAGGATTTTTAATATTTTTCAAATGTCAATGTAAAAATATAGTAGGAGCCTTGTATTAAATTTTCAAGCATTTTTACTCAACAGATAAACTTTTATTGACATTCATAGAAAAGAAACTAATAAATTTGGAAACTGAAAATGTCCCTAAACAGTTCAAAATAAATTAAAATATTTTGAAAATTGTATCGTGTATAGAAAATGCAAATATAAACAACCAGAGAAAATGTCATGTATCTACGGTCATTTGTTTTAAAGTTACACCAAAAACCAAATTTAATTTTGTGAAAAATCGATTTTGTATAAAAATTCCAGTTTTTTCTTAATTTTTATTTTGTTTTTCCGGGCGCTTTTGAAAACTATTGGGAATTTTAAATTTTGACCTTCGAAAAGTACCAACTATCACTTTCTCATCGAACAAGATACTGAAGTTGAAAATTGAAGCATTTTTTCGACTACTAATCGTGTACACAGATACAAAAAAAAAAATACAAAAAAAAACATACATCATTGTAAAATCAATACAAGTCATTCATCGTTCTACTTAGAATCTAAAACTTATTTTTATTTAATACTTGCAAACCAAGAAATGTTTTTTATTTTTTCCCAGTTACGTTAGGTTTACGTTATCATATTTTCTAATAGTGCTTTTATTATGTATATCTCGTCTCAGCTTAACTTTCAATCATAAGCTGACAGAAATTACAAATTAAATATCAACATAAGAAGTTTCTAATTTTAAATTTAAAATTTAATTAAATAAATATACATTTTTCAAAATTAACTAATGGATTTTTTTACAATTCCTTAAAATATTATAGTTATGCAATCTCAGAGGTCATAGTGTCAATAGAACAGAATATGTATATTATTAATATAAATTATAAAGACTTCTGACTCAAATGAAGATAACGAGTATAGGGACATTACTATATTAGCGATTTAATTAAGAGGATGCGTCGGCGTAACATCTGTTAAATCTGTCAGACACATACAAAGTATAACAAAACCGCTCTTAACATTTCTCATTTTGTAGTAAAAACGTTCAAATATTAAACAAAAATACCTATTACAAAATTAAAAAAGGAGATGTTAGTTTAGCTTTAGCTTAAAATATTATGATGTTAACATGATAGCACTAATTATTCGTACCTACCTAGTACCTACCTACAATAATGGTTCGAATTTTTTTTTAAATTGTTTTCTTGTAAAAAAGTTTGGATATTAATACGTATACACCTTTTAAAGTATAAATATATGTTATGTATACTATTGTGTTATTTGCATAATTTATCATTAGGTAGGGTGTATTTATTATAGAAGAAGAAAAACATTTGAATAGCATTTTTAATGATATATATGGTATGCGGCTGCAGCAGTCTTCTTGTATTTTTATTTTTTATGTGTATCAAATTGAATGTTTATGAAAAATATGCTTTATACCGCTCATTATCATATGATTTGATAAGCCTCCTCATCCTTTTATGTGTAACCGATCTCTATATGTATGTAATAATGCATCTATGTGCTTAATAAATAAGGTTTCCTTTTCTGGCGTTAGAGGCGTATAATTTATTAGAGTTTCTTCGCTGTTATACATATATTAACTATATATACACATATACAGCTGGTTAACAATTAGGGTAGGTGGGTACCGAGATGGAGATGTAATGCTTCACACAGGGTACTTATGTAATGATAATGGTGATAAATGATAATAATTAACATTTTTGAGAAATTAAATAATATAGCAAAGTATGTTTGTGTTTTTCAGCGTTTGCTTTTCCGAGTATAAGAGCTGGATACTCTGCTGTGATACCTAGCCAATTTGGGTAAGTCAACTTAATTTTTTACATATGCTCTTGCACAATTATTTATTTATTTTATGTTTTTGCTAATATGAAAAATATAAAACAATTTAATATACTTATATAATATTCATAAAGGGTTCGGGTGATATAAAATACATAACAGGAATATTGGTCTACGAAAATAAGAATATAATATATCATAACGGTAATAGAACAAAAAGTAGTGAAGATTTATTAATACTTTTCAAAATTATCAGTTTTCTTAATAACCATGTTATTTAGCTGGGGTTGGCCTGATCCCAATCAAAGTTACTTTCATAATTAGTTAAAGAAATAGTATTTGGCCCAAATTCAAATTTATATGCAATGATGATGTTTATGGGCAAGCAATGTTATGTGTTTTTATAATCGTTTGACGATAAATATTTAACTTGATACTTAGATATACAATTATATATTATAAAAAATAGCATTGTTCCAGCAGGCACCTATACTATATTAATATAGGCTTTATTTAACACCATTTAAAAAATACGATTGGTCAGAAGTTATTATTTACAGGCTTCGTTATGGGTTTGTGGAACCTGATTAGGAGTAGCTGATGTTCTCTGCGGATGAAACGAAATGAGAAACCAGTATATACAATATATATTCAAGTAAATCATATTAAAAAAAAAAGTTTCTGAGTTTGGAGGTTTTTAGTGAGGCTTGAGTGGTTTGCAATTCTAAAAAAAAAAAATAATAATAATAATAAAACCAAACGTTTCAAATATTGAGTAATTTTTGTTTTATTTTTTATTTAATTTTTTTTTAATTTTTGGACATTTTGAACGTGTGTTTGATGTGTGATCTTTTGTTTTAAAACTAATTTATACGATAATTTGTGGATTGCGTAGTTAGCACATCATTTTGTCGGTATAATAAATATAGTGAGATTCGTTCTGCAGCAATATATTGGTCATAATTCATATTATATGGGTAGGTACATGAAAAAAGAAAGAGCAGTACGCGCAACACATTTTGTCAAAATACAAACGAGCAAACTTTTTTAGTTTCTAAAACGTCGTTTTTCTCTCTCGATGCAAATTTATTTATTCGCGCAGCCAATTGAAAGTTTCGGTGAAAAGGCGCGTATAGTTTTCAAAGATATAATAATATATACGTCGAGACGACTCGCAACACTGCAATTTTCGCTATATAAACTACATTGCCTCCTTCAGCCCGCATCTCAAGTATATTTTAACTAGGTAGCCAAAAACTTCCGACCCGTCTGCGTACAACCATTTAAGCACGATTTGAATTTTGTACCTGTAATTTTAAACACCGTTTGCGCACACATTTAAAAAAATATCATGGCACGTTTGCATATACATTTTAAAAATCTTACCTATATAACAATTCATAGACCATCTGTAACTCCGGACAAAATATATCGATAAATGTAAAAAATCCGTTAGCGCAATTAAAACAATTTCGGTAATCATTGCTATTAATTTACAACCATAATTTTTAATTATAATAATTATTAATGAGTAATGACGATACAACGAGGTTATTATTTATACCTTATCGGTTGTGTTAATTTCATTCTAACCATAATTTTGTTTCATTTATTATTTAAATTATTATTACACTATATTGTAGGACTTAAAATTGTCTGAATACCTACCTATGTAATACTGTATGTAACTAATGGACTGCAGAAAATGTTTCAAAAAGATTTATATTATATATTTGCACACGTGTGTGTAGGACTTTGTAAAATGTATTATTATCTATTAAACAATTAGTACGATTTGTTAGTATTACAAACATGATATATCTATAATTTATGTAGGTACCTACAAAATATTATTCTTTATGTGCGCTAACGGTCCATCAAATTTCAGTTGATCTGTCAACAATGTGCGCAAACGGTTGTCACCCCGCACACCACACATATAATTATCATGTTTACATTTATATAATATTATAATATTATATGTATATTGTATGTAGGTGTAGTACCTATAAAATTTAATAGTGTTATAATATTATGTCGTCACGTTATTAGCGATAGGGATACGCTCGCGGAACCCATATAATTATATTTTAATTTTCCTTTTTTTTTTTTACATTCGCATGTGTATATATTTTATGCTTTTGGCGTTCACATACGACGAGGGGATCCAAAATGCGACCGGGTAGGGCTCGAAAAAAAGAAAACAATGAAACACGCACTATTGAGGTTTACACGAATCACCACTGCAGTCCACCCTTACTGCAGCGAGTACCTATATATTTATATATATATATATTATATCGTCGAAACTTTTTCGGTACTCCCCTTCGCACTGCACGAGCTCGCCGACAATGACATTGCGAGCTGCTGCAGCTATAGCATAATAATATGCCACTATACTCAGTGTACGCTTAAATTATACAGGGTAGCCTTGCTGCAGGGTTAGGTTTGGCCGTCGGATTTTTCTAATTCAGTATTTTTTAAATACAATTTTTTTTGGTAGAGAACAGATTTTAAAAAAAAACTTCAAAATATTATACTTGATATTATGCATTTATTTTTATAAGTTCACGTAAACTTTACAAACATGTAAAAATAAATTAAAAAAGTTACATATATTCAGTCAATAATAATCGAAGTAAGTCTGAACAACACAATATACTATCTCTGGAACAAAATTAATATTATAGCGACCAATTGTAATTTTATCGATATTAATATTATGGACAGCAAATTAAGTCTATACTTCATTATACGCTGAATATGTATTAAAACATTGAATAAAGGTATAAAATATATACGTCTAGTAAGCGGTTTTACATGCAGTCACCCTGTGTATAAATTTACCATCGTGCACAATTGATATTGGTACCTATTGTATAATATTGACTGGGAATATTAATACCAAGTTTAAATTTAACGATTTGGTAGCGCGAAAGACAACGTACTTAAGTAAGGTAATTTAAATGAATATTAATAGGTACCTAGTTATATATAGTAACTATATAGGTATATATTATAATACATCTAGCTGTTCAAGTCTCGACGAATGCACTTGTCGTCGCAATAAATCGTTTAATGTTTTGCCTGCGGTCCCACCGGGCGGCGAAATTGGAGAAAAATTAATTTAACAAAATTAAGTGTATAATCCCAAAAACCCGCAGGTGCTAGATTACCGCTGCTTCTGGCAGAGGCTGGACGTGCAGTTATAGTATTTTCCTCTACGCTCTCGAAAAATTAAGATGACGACAAATACAAAATCATGTAGGCTTCTGAAATTGCAAAATTTTATCATTTACACGTAAAATCGTCAACATCCGTAGTTGCGAGCTGAAAAAAAAAGAAAAGTATATTTTGATAAATCTTTTTAAACGGGCAATGACGACATATATATTATATTACTTACACATTTGGTACTGTAGTATTTTTCCGCATTCGTTTCCCGCATAACTACATAATTTAAATCCAGTTCTACAAAGCTTTGAAATAATAATTATTTCATTGCCTACTCCATATTGATAAAGTAAAGTAACAAAACGATTTTATGTATGTTCACCTAGATAAAATAGTTAATTGGTTCCAAAAGTATTAATGATTTTTCTATGCCATCACAAACACGCAATTTGTATTTTCCCTTTCGAGTTTCCGATATACCTAAAGCATGTGCTGTCGTTCTCTTTTACATACACGTCTATTATTACATAACGTCCTACGGTGAAAAATAATATCTTATTCGTTATATACGATATTGTTTCGATTAACTATTATTACCTACTGTGTACAAATAGTTAATTTTTAATCCTGTTAAAACATATTATTAATATTTTTAATTTTGCTCAATTACCGACGTGTTTATATTTTGTTTTACACTTCTATAGAATTAATTATAGGTAATTACAATTAATAATAACGTTAATAGTAATTACTCGATAAAATACCGTTTCAGAAAATTCGTAATGTATAGTTGAATGTACCTATATAATAATATTAATACCGTAGGCAGTACCTATTTCATATAAAATTTCAATGAGAATATATTATATGGCTTTAGTAATTAAATAACCATTATATGTTTTCCGTTAATATAAACAAGTTTGAAAAAATATACGTTATTTTAGTATTTTACTCTTACCAATAAATTCGTTATATTTGGTAACACTGCTTCAAACAATGGTTATTGAGTTGTAAAAAATATAACTTTGAACTGTAAGCAGCACTATTAGTTTGTAACGCCAAATTTCAAACTAAAATGTGACAGATGAAACACACAAAAACCATATTTTTACTGAACAAATGAAAAAATGTAGAGCACGCAATAACGCATTGTAACGACTATGACAATGTGTAATAATTATATGTTTGCAAAAAAATATGTAAATAATTGATAAAATTACGGCAATAGTGATCATTAATATTTAATATTCTTTAAATTATAACCCGTAGTAATAAATGTGTTAAAATGTTATCTTTTATATTCAATAGTATAATCTATAGTACCTTCTACCTATTTTATGTAGTATTGTACTTTTGTTTTGAAATTTTGTGTTTTAACACGTTTAAATGCACACACTCCTATAATTTCGATACAAAAAATAGTTCTAGTACATTATAATTATAATTCACGTGATTACTATAATAATTAATAAAATGATAAACTAGATGCAATTGCTCTTAAAAATTGCCCAAAAATAATTTACATTGTCTAAATCTAGTTCTTGGAAAATTTCAACTAAATAACTACTGTGTAGGTATCGAGTACTTCTCTGTTATTTTCTTTAGTTTACTTGTAATCTAATTGAATAAATTATATTTACATTCACCAATAATTAATAAAACAATTGCTATTGAGTATAGGCCGTAGTATGCCTACTAGTATAGATTTTAAATCTATTTCAAAATAAAAACATATAATATAATAATTATAATTTAAAAAATCAGATCTATTGTCAGTTATAATGTAGGTACTTATTGTTATATAATATAGTTATTATACATATTTTAAGGGGTAGGTAAATTTGTTTTCTTTTTGTTTCAAACATCTCATGTAAATGTATAATTTTAATTATTTATAAAATATTTTTTTATATAGAATTCGGCCCAAAGTCAGCTTCACGTATCGTATCAAATAGGTATTCAAATAGGTACCTATACGCTGTTAGAGATATATATTATTAAGCCCTCGTGTGATTTCATCTTGGCTATTTCTCGTTTTCGCGTAAAATATTATATTTTTATTGTATACTATAAACTCCTCGGCTGCCAAGTGCTAACTCTAGAGCAGTAAATGTACCTTCGCTATATAGAAATTAGTCACTCTCCGTCGAGCGCGAAACACGACGTTATTAATCGGAGGCGATGGCAAGGGAAGAAGAAGCTAGCTGTCCCGTTCGCTTACGATAAGATTGAACCAGCCGTGAGCTTACACAGTTACGAGTTTTATTTTTTACTTTCAAGCTGCATTCGGTATTTTGAGCATGCTGGCCGTTTCCCGTCGAGAGCGAAACGACGTCGGCGGCGGCGACGCGTGCAACAAATTGCCGTCGAAGAGCCACCGCCGCTTGCTCCGAGTGGAAACGTGTTTAAAATGTTAGGGTTTTGGTTTGAAAAATTACATATATTATTTACGATGAAAAATATTTTTAAATATAAACAAGT